AAGTCCCTTTATTCCCACTAAGCAATATACGGAGCACTTCTTGCCATTCTGCCACTCCAGCACCAATTTTTTAAAGAAAGAAAAAAATGACCACTAGAGAGTGCAAGCAGTTTTTTCAGCTTCCAAAAAAAGTGTTTTGTAAAGTTAAGCCCATTTTTTCACCTTACAAAAATCTTCTACCAAAAAATCATGTAAATTAGCCTCTTTGATTACACCTCTCTTCCCCCTCAGACCCTTTTCCATTTTACAGATCACAAAGTTGGCTACAGTTTATTTAACCAAATTCCATGCTACTTGCCCTGTTTCCCTGAAAATAAGACAGGTTCTTATATTAATTTTTGCTCCAAAATGCATTAGGGCTTATTTTCAGGGGATTTTTTTATTTTTTATGTACAACAATCTACATTTATCCAAATGCAGTCATGTCATCTTCTGGTTGGTGCACAATGGTGGAGGGAAGGGTTTCACTTAACATGGGCTTATGTTGGGGGTAGGGCTTATATTACGAGCACCCTAAAAAATCATACTAGGGCTTATTTTCAGGTTAGGTCTTATTTTCAGGGAAATAGGATACCTTGGAAGACAAGAATAAAATTCAAAAGGATCTTGATAGGCTTGAGCACTGGGTTGAAAACAACAGAATGAAATTTAACAGGGGCTGAGTGCAAAGCTCTACATCTACGGGGAGAAAACAAATGCAGTTACAAGATGAGGGATACTTGGCTCAGTAATACTATGAGTGAAAAGGATTTTGGAATTGGAAAATAAATGTTGTGGCATCGTAAAAACTAATTACTGAGCTTTCATGGACCAAGTCCATTTCTTCAGACATAAGAGGAAGTACTTATACATTTTATACAGGTCTCCAAAATAAACAGTACAGTGGTGCCTCGCATTACGACGTTAATTCGTTCCAGCAAAATCGCTGTAGAACGAAAACGTCATAATGCGAAAATAAAAAGCCCACTGAAACGCATTCAAATCCCTTCAATGCGTTCCAATGGGCTGGAAACTCACCATCCAGCAAAGATCCTCCATAGGGCAGTCATTTTCAGTGCCTGTGCAGCGAGGAATCCGTCCCAGAAAACAGCGGGGAGCCATTTTATTTACCCAGGGGCCATTTTGAAACCACCGATCAGCTGGAGGAAAATCGTCGTTTTGAGAAGAATCGGTTCCCGAAGCAGGGAACCGATCATTGCAAAGTGAAAAAAACCCATTCAAACCATCGTTTTGCGATTGCAATTGCGATTGCAAAAAGATCGTCATAATGCGGTTTCGTTGTAATACAGGGCAATTGTAAAGCGAGGCACCACTGTAGTATGACACATTTGGTAATGAGTCAAGAATCTCTAACTTTACCTTTGAAGCCTGTTCTGTAAAAGTAGCTGTGGTTAGTCTGGAAGGAACCTGGGCTATGGAAAATAACATATAACATATAACAACAGATTAAATATTAATTAATCAACGGTTCTTAAGACATTACCAAATGTTTGTGTTGTTTCAGCTTTTGCTATCTATATCCTGGGGTTGCTTTACTCACTAATCATTATAGCCTTTTACAGAACAGAGCCTCAAAGGAAAAAAGCTAAATATCAAACAAGGGTCTTAAGTCATTATTAGGTGTAAAATGCCACACTACTGTACAACTGCTCTCATTGCACAGGTTGTGCTCAAAATCCTTATCGTTTATTATTTATTTATTTATTTATTTAACTTATATGCCGCCCACACTACCCGAAGGTCTCTGGGCGGCTTACAGCATTTATGTGTTTCAGATAAGGAGTAGAGTCAAAGATATGTAGGGAGTGCCTGACCACCTTATCTATCTCCTGAGAAATCTATACGTGGGACAGAAAGCAACAGTTAGAACTGGATATGGAACAACTGATTGGTTCAAAATTGTGAAAGGAGTACAAGGCTGTATATTGTCCGCCAGCTTATTCAACTTACATGCAGAATACATCATGCGGAAGGCCGGAATGGAGGAATCCCAAACCAGGATTCAGACTGCCGGAAGAAATATCAACAACCTCAGATATGCAGATGATACCACTCTGACGGCAGAAAGTGAGGAGGAATTAAAGAACCTTGTAATGAGAGTGAAAGAGGAGAACGCAGAAAATGGTCTGAAGCTCAAAATAAAAAAAAAAACTAAGATCCTGGCACTGGTCCCATCACCTCCTGGCAAATAGAAGGGAAAGATATGGAGGCAGTGACAGATTTTACCTTCTTGGGCTCCATGATCACTGCAGATGGGGACAGCAGCCACGAAATTAAAAGACACCTGCTTCTTGGGAGGAAAGCGATGACAAGCCTCGACAGCATCTTAAAAACCAGAGACATCAGCTTGCCGACAAAAGTCCGCATAGTCATAGCTATGCTTTTTCCTGTAGTGATGTATGGAAGTGAAAGCTGGACCATAAAGAAAGCTGATCGCCAAAGAATTGATGCTTTTGAATTGTGGTGCTGGAGGAGACTCTTGAGAGTCCCCTGGACTGCAAGGAGAACAAACCTATCCATAT